CATGACTGCACCAGCTGCATCCACGTGTATCCACAAGTGGCTCTGCAACACCATCTTCCTATCATCAGCCCAAAAGCATTGATTAGGGCAGGAAGAAGCTGCGGACCTGGTAGAGAATCAAAAGATATGCTGCTCATACTAGCAGCAATTTCGTTGCGCAAATGTAGGATGCCTTTGAGATCGGCGCTTTTCGGAACCACCGCTCGCGATACTTCGTCTAACAGATAAAACAGCAAACCGCTCCCAATTTTATCCTTAAAAACAAAACTCACTTCATATGCCAGCTAATCCAAGAGAACACTACATTCGGGTAAAACTCCTTTTTTCGAGAGCTTTTGAGGATAAACTAAGAAGAAGAGTACCTGCTTAGAGGTCAACGCGAGACAATAAAGCATAACTTGCATAGCATGCTCTGTGTTAACATTTGATTTACCAGTTTTCAATTCCAAAGGCGTCAGCATCTCCTCGCCGGCCTCTGTTACCACCTAAAACAGAAACACTCTTAAAATATAAAAAAGTGGTACTGTAAAATAACGGTTCGTAAACACGTGCCTCAGTACATAAAGCTTGCTGCGGCTACTTCTATATGCTGGAATATTTTTAAAAAGCAATATTCCAGTAAATTCAGCAGGTAACCCAAAAACCCAGCAAGTTGGGTTCGAAACCGACGGGATCACTACGATGACTTACTATGACTTAAAGTTTATTAAAACTTTGGTTTCGCTTTATGCGCCTTTTTGAAATAATAAAAATCCTAGTGCAGAACTGCAACTTTAAGCGATTTCAGATCTGCAGAAAGCCGATCCAAAAGAGAAAAAAATTCTGAAAGAACATGTTGCTCCAAATTAACAAGTTACATTATCCATGTCTAGGAATGGCAGTGGTCGGAACGAGATGGTGATGCTCAACATACACTGAGAACATTTCGAAGAAGCTAAGACTTTGCCTGAGGCTTCTGTTAAGAGGGCTGCTGAGTTTGAAATCCCTTTGGAGGAAAAGCGTACGTCAGAAAAAAATCGAAGCAGGCTGACCAGCAGGTGATGTCGCACTGGTCAGAGTAACGCAAAAGTCGTCCCTGGCACAGAAGAATTAACCGTTGCTACAAGTTTCCCGAGTATGCTGTCCAACGCAAGCTCGATACTGCCCTCTGCTGGGTATTCTGCTATTGTACACGCACTTTAATAAGGCTACAAGCATTTCTAGACTCAGATCTTGCCTACATCTCCAAAGAGGCAGTCGCAGACTGTCGGATCGAGTAAATGCAAACTTTGCCAGCAGACTCGCAGATCCGCTGATGCCTCCACAACCGAAATCCCAGGATTGTGAGATTTATCAGGAATAAGCAAGCAAAGAAAAAGTGTTGAACCACGCTTGAAAAAAATACAAAGCAGCAACCTTCAAAGTGCAGTCAATTTTAGCTTTGAAGCCGTAACAAGAATTCCAGAGAGAGTCCTCAACATCTACCACCTCC